GTGCGTCCGTCTGCACCACTGGGTATCTGCGCGCGTGCTGCACGCCCATGTGCGTGCATAGTGCCCGTTGGGCACCCGACTAGCATGCCTTCCATTCTTTCGGGCCACCTGGTATTTTAGCCAACCCCACCAGGTTTCACTTATTCGATTAGCATCCCAAAACCATCGACGGCACGTCCTTTTGAGTCGTGGCCTCATTCATGCTCGTCTACGCCAATGCGCGTGTTCGCGCCCTTCTTGAATGCACCCTTTCTTGCGTGTGAGCGTTGCTAGCTTCGAAACCATCTTATTGCGTGCCCTCACGCACCTCCATGCGTGACCCTCATTAGCCGCTTCGTGCGCTCGTGCATCACGTCCATGCACTCCTCGATCCAAGCCCGTCCGCATACGCGCTCGTACCCGTCTTTTAGGCCATGCTTGCATCGTTTTGGCCCTATTTTCAGCCTCCTCGAGTCCTCTTGGCTCTTGGCCCTTCTTGTCGCAGGGGTCCGGAACCCACTTCCGTATCACGCTGGGCTGCGTGCTGGCAGTAGTGCACAGGGCCCGGGCAGACAGACAGGGTTTCAAATAGGACCGACCGATTTTAAAATGCACTCGACCTATCTTGAAATTTTTACACAATAATATGGACCCATAAAGACACATTTTAACAAAGTCCTAACCTCAGGACATCAATTTAACCAAATGGACACATTTAGGCAAAACATCGATATAAAACCGAACTTACAAGTTCTCTGGGCAATCCTTAAAGTTTTTCAATGAATTTTGGACACAACATACATTATACCAGAATAATGACACTCACAAAAAATCACGTCAAAATACCAAGTACTCGATTTTTAATTATTTTTTTGAAGTTTCTGCCCAAAATAAAAAATCGGTATTTGACATAGCTTCACAAATAGTTTTGTCCTGAAACTTTTACACCACAACATATACGAAAAGAGGATCATACAGGTCAAATGTCGTGCCAATCGGACAAACACACGATTTATGATGATTTTAGTAAAATTCAGCAGCGAGACCCGATTAAAAATTGCATAAATGACACCCTATCCATCAATTCCGTCCTAGGACTTCATCATAAGGCCAAGGACTCATAAATATTCCGTAATCCAAAGCTCTAACACGATTTTAACGAGGGTTCATCAAGGACACACTAATATCCCTTCAAACATGCATAATAATGTGGTTCGGAGGCTTATTTCCTTGAAAAAAAAAATAGAGCTCTAGATGACCGAGCACCCTTACTTATTCTAAGAACTTGTTTTAACCCCATATTACTCATGATTTATAAGGATTTTTAAGCTCAAGAACTCGGCCTAAACATGCATGCAACGAAAAATACGATTTTAAGGCTTTAAGCTTCGAAAATCGGAATCTCCCATTCTACCCGAGCAAAACATAATTTCTCTACATGATAAATCTTTAAATATCATATTATATCTAGGATAAAAACATAGCATGAGCTAACCTTCAGTGAAGTCGAAAATGAGACTCAAGCCCTTAACTCGGGTCTCCTTGGGTAGCTACAGGCCGTGGCTTGACTTGGTGGCCTTTGGTTGGGGATGATGGCTTCTCTAAACTCCTTATACTCCCAGAGATGATATGAACTTAGCTTGGTGCAGCAAAACTTGGTTAGAACAAGAGATAGCTCGGTGCATGCTTCTCTTTGCACTAGCAATGCTATACTCTTGTCTCTCGGTTATCTCTCCTATTTCTCTCTATAAACTCGAAAATACCAAGTGTCCAACATCTATTCTCATCTGAGGAAGTGAGGCTAATGAGGAGGTCATGGGCGGAGAAACCTATGCAAGCAAATGTGGACAACTTCCCTTTCCAAAGCACATGGGACTTTGGGGGCCTTGGGGCACGACTTGGCTGGTCTTGGCATAGGTTTTTGGCTGCATTTGGAAAGAATATTGGTAGGGAATATGGCTGGTCAAGTCCCAATGAACTAGGGGACAAAAGGTCCGTTAAAAATAAGGCTACCACATGCTCCCAACTTGTGTTAGTGTTATTGTATTAAATAACTCCTAATCCACCTATTAATACATGCATGAATGTGGACTGGGAGAAAGATGGGTCAAAACTCAAGAAAATGGCTTTGGGAGGTGGCTGGCGCTGGCTGGGCATGCGCTGTGCGGTGTCCGCGCGCGCTGCTGCGCGCAGACGTGTGCGTGTTGGCTGTCTGCGCGCGCTGCTGGACTGTGATGACGGACCGTGTTTTTACTGTATACGGGTTGTGAATAAACGGCGCACTCAGGGCCTTCGTTACCCACGAAATGTGTATCTAACAGACGCACTATCGGCCTTCTCCTAGACACTGTGACTTCAAGACGCTCTAATGGCCTTCTCTCCGACACTGTATGTAAACACGCACTAATGGCCTTGTTTAAACACACGTAAGAACATAAGTTCCCCTCTTAATTGGCTCACCAATTCAATACTCAATTCAACCTTAAATAATGATGAGGTACATGGGGTATTTATAGGTGCAAAATAAATCTAAGCCTAAAAGATCTAGATCTCCTATTCTATGCAATAAAATAAATCCTAATGCTAGTAAATCTTATAACATCTTCTACTACTAACAAATAAAAGCAACATGGAAATAAAATCCTAACATTACTATAATTCCTAATGTCTTGACTTGCACTCCAAGCAAATCTAGAAGCTTAAGTCTTGTTCACGCCTCAAACCTTCGGCCGCCTCATCGCGTGCGCCGCCCTCACGCCTTCCCTAGTCCTCGAGGACTAGGGCTGCACCGCTTTCGCCCATGTATGTCCTATCGCCTCGAGGCCTTAACATGCGCCATTCCTATTCCTTTTAGGACCATGCCTCGATCCCATATCCACTATTCCTATTCCTACTAGGAATATGCTCCCGGTTACGTTTCCTGATCTTCTAAGGATTACTCCCGTCACCAATCTTTCATGCGCATTCAGGCACTCAACTGCTTTTACTATTCCTGCGAGGATTAGTATTCGCGCCTTGCCTATTCCTACGAGGATTAGTCTTGCCACCCCGGTCTTGACTTGTGCCTTGCGCGTGTCGCCGTGCGCCCCGCGCTCATCGTCCAGCGCGCCCAATGCCCGCGCATCGCCCATCGCTCGATGTGCGCCCATCCATCCACAGCAACTCCCCTCGCGCGCCATCCATCCAACAACCTCCCCCCTGCGCGCCACTTCGCCTAACCTCCAAGCGCCATGCGCGTCTACGCCAATGCGCGTGTGCGCGCCCTTGTTTAATGCACCTCTCCGTGCGTGTGAGCGTTACTAGCCTTGAGACCACCTTCTTGCGTGCCCTCACGCACCTCCATGCGCGACCCTCATTAGCCACTTCGTGCGCTCGTGCATCACGTCCATGCACTCCTCCATCCAAGTCCATCTGCATACGCGCTCGTACCCGTCTTTTAGGCCATGCTTGCATCACTTTGGCCCTATTTACAGCCTCATCGGGCCCTCTTGGCTCTTGGCCCTTCTTGTCGCAGGGGTCCGAAACCCACTTCCGTATCATTCCCCTCCTCTTCGAGACTTTCCTTGTCCTCAAAGATTCATCCTCGACCATCCAAACATCGGGCACTCTTTCTTCGACCATGCGCACATCCCACCCATGGTCCTCATCGACCTCGACCAAGATCGCCTCCTTGACCTCTATGTGTTGCGCGTGCCATTCCTGCGTGCACGCTTTGCTCCAATCACCCGAACTCACCATGGTGTACTCGGTGTCGGTCTCCTGTTGGTATGACTTCCTCTCTTGGTTCTCCTCGTTCGTGAACTCGTCGGCGAACAACACTTCCTCGCACTCGACTTGGTCGACCTCACACTCGACCGCCTTGTCTTCAACATAGCCCGGTAGATCGAACGTAAATAAGGGCTCTCCTTCGATGACCTCCTCCATGATCTTGAGTTGTCATTCGAGCTTCTCCTTTTGCTCATACATCTCCTCTAAATATTCTTGCTCCCAAGGGGTTAATTCCCTCTCCAAACTTTCGAGGTATTCGAGATCCTCCCAATCCAACTCATCTAATGGTGGGTAAGACATTTTTTTTTTACTCTAAAAATTCGAACTAAATTCGAACCAAAATAAAAAATAAAACAAAGAGAAATTCGGCCCCTCAACAAAAGGTAATAACCGAAACAAAAATCAAACAAAGGACAAGATGACACTTTTTTTTTTTAAGACTCACGAAAAAAAAAATTGAAAATTTCGAATAGATAAATTCGAAAATTTCGAACCAAAAAAGAAAAGAAATTTGGCCCCTCAGCAAAAGGCAAACCGAAAAAAAATAAAAGATAGGGTAGATAAAAACACGATCAGCACCTTGTTAGAGGTATGTTGTAAAAGCTGTGTTTTGCAGTTTCTATCATTTTCATTTTGATCTGGCAATCATGTTTCGGTCAAAGTACATATGTTGGCAGTTTATTTATTTATGCAATACATACTCCATGTCTTATATTGAGGTAGTGTGGTTCGAAGAGTTTCGAACAGAAAGATGGCCTATCGGTTCCTTATAAGACTAAATTATTCGTTCACAGTCTAGACTGGCAGTGAGACCCCACTTGGAAAAAGACTGTAGTGTATTCTCGATTCAGTTGGTCTTTGACTGAAGGATTACACTGCATTATGTTAAGTGTTGAACAGGACCACGAAAGGATAAGGATATGAGACTCACTAACCGTTGTCGTAACCTAGACCTTCAGTGATTGATGCGTTCTCTTAAGCTGTAATATAATATAAAATAGGCATATATTTTTATCTCTTATTTATTTGATTTACCAAGT